ACAAAACTATATATATTTATATAGGAAATTGAATGAACTAACATAATATTTATGAATCAAACTGAAATTTCAACATTTATTCAAATTAACTATTCTGATTTGCATAATTTATGCAAGCATTTTTTTTTTTAAAACTTGGGAACAAACATGACTAACCTGAAAAATTTGGATCAATTTTTTTTTTAATGGATGAAGCTTGAATAAGTCCTTACACCTGTATTTTGGGAAGTGAGGTCCTTCAGACATGTCTGACACATGGTTCTACTCATTTTCCTGCCTCCAGCTATGTTTCGGTTGCTATGACGCAACAGTCCTTTTCGCTATTTTGGGCACAGGTAACCACAGAAAAAAATTAATGTACAATTTCAGAAGCCATCAAACTTTCTCGAAAGCCGTCAAAGAACAGCCCACATATGCAAGAAGCAGTCTGATTGGCTGGTACGAAAACCTGCCAGCCAATATCAAGGCTTCTATTATATAGGGCCAACTGATCAGCTAAGTCGTCCTATTGGCTACTTTGTGTTGGGTCGATATTTTGGGCACGTCGTCTCCAAAGGGTTAAATACAATTTTCTTTTGTTATAATTTAAATACGGTATTCTTTTGTTATAATTTAAATACAATTTTCTTTTGTTAGGTTTTAAATACAATTTTCTGTTGTTATAATTTAAATACAGTTTTCTTTTGTTGTAATTGAAATGCAATTTTCTGGTAATGCAGTTAAAAAATAAATTCCTAGCAGAATTTGTATAATTTTATTAATATTACCATTGGTAAATTATCTCTGGTGGTTGTTTATTTCAACTTGTTGTAGCCTATTTAAATAAAATAAATAAATCATTTTGATGTACATGAACTTCCACCTTTTATTAACATGAGTCATATCAATCAATCCCTTGATTAATGGTGATTTTTCAAACACATTGTTTGTTATTTCTTTTAATAGTAATTAAACGACAGTATATTTTCAGTTATCCGTATATTTAAGCCTTGTATATATTTTAAAGTTCTCTGAGATTAGCTGGTGTAATTTAAACTGATAGGGGCCTCAAGGTTTTTACCACTTAGGGCCTGATCAAGTCTGAATTCAGTCCTGACAGACAGTATGATTGTTCATAAGTTGTACTGTATGATTTGTATCGTTAGTAATGAATAATACTGAAAACAGGCGCCAGTAAATGTCCTGGGGCCAACCTGAAGGTGAGGTGAGGTGAAATTTAATGTGATTCCTTGTATTCCACGATGATAAAAAGCATGATTTCATTATAGGTATAATTTAGATTCAGATTTACAGTCTGTTTCTGTAGTAAGTAATTTGGTGTCAGAGCTTTGTAAATGCAAATAAAACTAATTAATTCACACATATCATAGATATAATTTTAGATAAAATGTAGTTTGTTTTCTGTAGAAGAAATAAAACAGTATATTAGTGTAGTGTTGTAATGTTGGACCTGTGTAGGTGCAGTATCCTTCCGGCTGGTCGTGTGTTAAATTCTGTGTCCGAGCAGAACTTTAACAGCAGACCTAGGCTCACTGATCGGCTTAACTGAAAACAGGCGCCAGTAAATGTCCTGGGGCCAACCTGGAGTTAGCCACATCAGCCATCATGTACTGATGGCCCTGACTTGAAACCTGCCGCTAGCTGTTGAGACACTGGTCTGCTAAACTGTGACCTATTTTACCTTAATGGTCTGTAAACAAGTTGCTTATTATATGCTGCCATAAAATAATTTTGTTTGTCCAGCCCAGTTTAGATATTTTGGGTTTAAATCATGGCTGAAATCCAGAGGGGACCACAGGCTTTTGCATCTATCAGGTCATAACATTGTGAGGTTAAGTGTGTTCATTATCGTCATCCCCCGGAGTGAGGTCGGGTCAGTCCCATCGTGAGGTTAAGTGTGTTCATTATCGTCATCCCCCGGAGTGAGGTCGGGTCAGTCCCATTGTTAGGTGTGATCAAGGAGAATGCACTCATTGACCTTTATGAAGACCATGGTTGGGCAACAGAAAATGGGCAGTCCTTGAAGAAGCAGACAACAATGCCAATACACTAGTGAATATGTATGTACACTGTCGAGACTTCTGTTTGGGTATGCTTGGAGTGATAGAAATTTTGAAAACATTTTGACAACTGACATACTTGATTGGAAGATGAAGACATTATTTTTTTGTTTAATTAATGCAGGTGCCATCTCCCCATTGCAAGTTGGCTGCTGTCATTGGGAATGATACCTGGTGAGGCCCCAGTCTCTTCCACTGTGTGACTCTTATACTACGTTTAGAAAACCACAAAAATGTAAGAAACAAGGAGGGAAAAAAACCTACTCACAAGGATAATGAAATTATTCAACACATTAGCTAATCTTAGAGCCACACACGATATAGAGTTACATGGCTAGCAAATTGCATTCTTAGAATAGAGATCTGATATTTAAAAGTGGCGTGCTTGTTTAAACACTGGCTGTGTTTTGTCATTACTTTTAAGTGATTTTTGTGTTCTACCCCCCAGGTCAAGAAAACACAGTGTTCCGGTTATGTTGCTGCTGGTGAAGTAAAACTTGCCTCACAACTGGACAACAGCAGGCATGGCACCATCCAGAAAACGAGGTAAAGTTAACTGTAGAGCGGTAATTTCATCCATGCCATGAGGCCATTGTTATTCTTGCTAGTTTAAATCATAATCTTGCATAACTCACTAGTCATTAGGTATCTTGCAGAATTAACTGTATCTTCTTATATCTTGCAGAATTTACTGTATCTTCACATATCTTGCAGAATTAACTGTACCTTCAGATATCTTGCAGAATTAACTGTACCTTCACATATCTTGCAGAATTAACTGTACCTTCAGATATCTTGCAGAATTTACTGTACTTTCAGATATCTTGCAGAATTAACTGTACCTTCAGATATCTTGCAGAATTAACTGTACCTTCACATATCTTGCAGAATTTACTGTACTTTCAGATATCTTGCAGAATTTACTGTATCTTCAGATATCTTGCAGAATTTACTGTACTTTCAGATATCTTGCAGAATTTACTGTACTTTCAGATATCTTGTAGAATTTACTGTACCTTCAGATATCTTGCAGAATTAACTGTACTTTCAGATATCTTGCAGAATTTACTGTACTTTCAGATATCTTTGCAGAATTTACTGTACCTTCACATATCTTGCAGAATTAACTGTACCTTCAGATATCTTGCAGAATTTACTGTACTTTCAGATATCTTGCAGAATTAACTGTACCTTCAGATATCTTGCAGAATTTACTGTACTTTCAGATATCTTTGCAGAATTTACTGTACCTTCAGATATCTTGCATAGCTGACTACATACATGTTCAGATAAGCTCATGTTTGAAACAGGGTGCTCTTGCATATTTTTTTTTTTTAAATACACATTTTGTCAAATTTCCTGTTTTCAGCTGTAAAAGATAATGCATTAACATTGCCCTTTTTGACTGTTTTTTCAGTGATAGAACATAAAACGACAAGAGAGAAAACTACCACATCACCAGCTCGCTCGGCTTCCAGGTAATGTTTCTGTTAAATAGTCAGTCACAAAAGATGGAAACATTATTTTGTTATTTCTGAAAAGGACAGCGCTGTTTTGCCTATTTATATCAGCCAGTGAATTTTCCTCATAAGTCTGCAGTAATTAAACTTCTGCACCAGCAGAATTTACCACATAAGTCTGCAGAAATGAAACTTTTACAACAGTGAATTTTCCAAATAAGTCTGCAGTAATGAAACTTTTACAACAGTGAATTTTCCATATAAGTCTGCAGAAATGAAACTTTTTACAACAGTGAATTTCCCATATAAGTCTGCAGTAATTAAACTTCTGCACCAGCAGAATTTTCCAAATAAGTCTGCAGAAATATAACTTTTACAACAGTGAATTTTCCAAATAAGTCTGCAGTAATGAAACTTTTACAACAGTGAATTTTCCATATAAGTCTGCAGAAATGAAACTTTTTACAACAGTGAATTTCCCATATAAGTCTGCAGTAATTAAACTTCTGCACCAGCAGAATTTTCCAAATAATTCTGCAGAAATATAACTTTTACAACAGTGAATTTTCCAAATAATTCTGCAGAAATGAAACTTTTACAGCAGTGAATTGTCCAAATAAGTCTGCAGGATTAAAACTTCAGTGTCACCACCTTGTCTTCTGCCGCAAAGTAACCCATTACCTCCCATCCCGACTGTGGCCAACTTTTGCAGCTCCTTTCAACATCTTTTTCTAACTCCAGTTTTAATCTCCATGTATGAGCCTCCATCTGTTTCTTTTGCCATGCTGATTACAGAGGAAAGACTAGTTACCAAAATCAAACGTGTATATTGTACTTAAGTGCAAAAATATATCAATTTGACATTGAAAGTCACCTGTATTAGAAAAGTTGTCAGTGATTGATACTGTATTCATTGTTGCCTGAGACTAGCACTATACTTCTACTCCACTACGCCAATTAGCTTTTTAATACAAGAGAACAGAGTGAAATAGAATGTATGTAACTATACAGATATAATGAAGACAACTTATGTAATCATACATTTGCTGTATAATTTAATAAATTGTGTGTAATTCATGTGTGGGGCAAATATTGTAATATTGACTTTTGACATTGTGAATTTTTTCAGCAGATAACATTAATAACTTTTGTTTTTGAAACAGGCTAGGTACCAGGCTGAATGTTGAAGCTGACAACCTTCCGAAGAAAGCAAAGTTAAGTTCACCTGGTGGTCAGTCTCCTTCGGGTAACAAGAAGATTGCTGTCACTACCCGTGCCTCCAGTGCTGTGTCTGCAACATTATTTAAGGGCAGCAACTCTGCTGTTAAACTGGTGAGAAAGACAGAAGAGCAAACAAGCAACACACAGACAAACAGAGGCAGGGAGAAGAAGGATGAATCTGGGGACAATTTAAAACCACAGACAGAATGTGGGCTTGTCAGCCATCAAGTGAGATCTGGACGAAGAGCTGCTGCAGGACATGTCAAATGTGATGTCCCAGTGAAGGGAGGCAATGAAGAGCCTGACACTCCACCAGCCTCTGTGCAGAGGAGATCCAGAAGTCAGGTCAGCAATGCAGCAGCGACACCACTAGTGAAGAAAGAGGAGGATGTGACAAAGCTGAGGTCTCAGCACATGAAGGCAGAAACACCACAAGGAGCCCTCTTGAACAAACTCTGACCGATAGTGATGGCACATTGTCTGGTGTGGCACAGCAGAGAACTCGGAGCAAGAGTTCCATAGAGAAATCACCTGCAACAAATGAACAGAGCACAAAAGTCTCTACACCAAAGGATTCAGGTGCCAAAAGTAAAAGAAGTGAGAAAACTGTCATCAGTTGTAGATTCAAGCTAGAACACCCATCATTGCTCAGTCAAAGTGACATCTCATCAGAAAACAAAGTGACAGACACACCCAGGGCTTCAAGAGCAGCATTGAGACAAAGTGACAAAACAGAATCTGCAAAAGGTAAAATGACACCTGTGAAATCTGAGCAGTCACCAGTTTCATCACCTGGACCATCCACCCCAGGGAGTAGATCAGTAGTGACTCCACCAGGGAGTAGATCAGTAGTGACTCCACCAGGGAGTAGATCAGTAGTGACTCCATCAGGGAGTAGATCAGTAGTGACTCCACCAGGGGATGAACAGTCTTATGCTGGAACAGATCCGGAAATTACTGCAGGAGTCACTGAACACAAAGAACTGAAGCTGGCCAAGGCGGAGAAGGCAGAAGTCAAGTCAGAACTGACAGTTCAAACCTCTCTACCAAATGTGTCAGGCAACAGTAAAATAAACAGCAAGTCGACCAAACGAAATAGCCAAGTAGCTTTAAGTGAAATCATTCAGAGAGAGCGAAAGAAGAGACGGGAAGGCCATGAGAATTTGGCTTGTCAGAGGTCACCACAGAAAGGTATTAAATGTACTGCTTCCACAAAACTGAAATCTGGAATAGCAGAAATAAAGCAAGAAATTAGGACATTGAAGACAGAAACAAAACACGAAAAGAATGATGTGGGTGAGAATCTTTCTGAAATAAAAAGTGAATCACAGGAGTATCAGGAAACAGCACAAGGAGTGGATAAAGGCACTCAAGGAAGTCATCATCTTTGTGAAAGCAGTGTGGAGATAGAGACAAAGCATCCTAGAGGTGATAGCACAGACACTCAAGGAAGTCATCATCTTTGTGAAAGTGTGGAGATAGAGACAAAGCATCCTAGAGGTGATAACACAGGCACTCGAGGAAGTCATCTTTGTGAAAGTGTGGAGATAGAGACAAAGCCTCCTAGAGGTGATAACACAGGCACTCAAGGAAGTCATCATCTTTGTGAAAGCAGTGTGGAGATAGAGACAAAGCATCTTAGAGGTGATAGCACAGACACTCAAGGAAGTCGTCATCTTTGTGAAAGCAGCAAGGAGACAGCAAAAGAGCATCTTGAAGGTGAGAACACAGAAAAACTGAATGAGCAAAGATTGTGTGGAGGTAATGAGAACATTTCTGGGTCGAAGAGGCTGGGTGATGCTGATGCAGAAGTACATGAAAAACAAATATTGGAAGAGTTTGGAACAATATGTGAGCCGAAGAATGTAGGTGAAAGTCATGAAATATGCCAGAGTACAAATGTGTGTGTGGAGGGTGTCCAGCTAGGGCTGGGAACGTCTATTGAGGTTGAAACTACAAACAGACTGAATGATCAGACTGTGGATGACAGTAATCTAGAGGATACAAATTCAAAGTTACCAGAGGAAAACACTACGGGTAATAATAATGATTTGAACGGCTTGAGTGAATCTAATCAAATACTTGACGACAATTCATGTGAAATGGAACCTGAAGATGAAAAGATATCTTCAGACATACTGGCATGCCAGAAGGAAAATTCTGATTACATGATAAAACTTGATGAACATTTTAGCGATGGCGTGCTCAGGGAAGAGGATGCGGCAGTTACACAGCATCATAGGAGCAGAAACACGCTTGAACCTGCTGAGAACCTGTTCCCATGTTCAAGGGTTGAGGACAACAATAAGAACACAAGTGAATGTTTTGAGGAGGATGTGTTCGACTCTTGCAGTGTGAAGATAGCAGGTACTGAAACTTCTGACAGTGATGAAGTGAGCAAAGTCAGGTTGTGTTTGGAGATAGAAGACACTGAAGATAAAGACGATGCATGTGCTTCCAACATAGCCATAGAAGATAATTACAAGTGTTTACAAAGTGAGCAATTTGTCGGCGAGTCTGGCCAGGTAGCATTGCCTGTGACAAACAGCACTACTAATTTATCCCTATTACACAGCAGTACATCTGTGCCCACAACAGACAGCAGTACATCTGTGCCCACAACAGACAGCAGTAGATCTATGCCCACATCAGACAGCAGTACACCTGTGCCCACATCAGACAGCAGTATATCTGTGCCCACATCAGACAGCAGTATATCTGTGCCCACATCAGACAGCAGTACTAATATATCCATATCAGACAGCAGTACATCTGTGCCCACATCAGACAGCAGTAGATCTATGCCCACATCAGACAGCAGTACATCTGTGCCCACATCAAACAACAGTACTAATATATCCATAACAGACAGCAGTACATCTGTGCCCACATCAGACAGCAGTACTAATATATCCATAACAGACAGCAGTACATCTGTGCCCACATCAGACAGCAGTACTAATATATCCATATCAGACAGCAGTACATCTGTGCCCACATCAGACAGCAGTACATCTGTGCCCACATCAGACAGCAGTACTAATATATCCATATCAGACAGCAGTACATCTGTGCCCACATCAGACAGCAGTACTAATATATCCATATCAGACAGCAGTACATCTGTGCCCACATCAGACAGCAGTACTAATATATCCATAACAGACAGCAGTACATCTGTGCCCACATCAGACAGCAGTACATCTGTGCCCACATCAGACAGCAGTACATCTGTGCCCACATCAGACAGCAGTACTAATGTATCCACATCAGACAGCAGTACATCTGTGCCCACATCAGACAGCAGTACTAATGTATCCATATCAGACAGCAGTACATCTATGCCCACATCAGACAGCAGTACTAATATATCCATATCAGACAGCAGTACATCTGTGCCCACATCAGACAGCAGTACATCTATGCCCACATCAGACAGCAGTACATCTGTGCCCACATCAGACAGCAGTACTAATATATCCATATCAGACAGCAGTACATCTGTGCCCACATCAGACAGCAGTACTAATATATCCATATCAGACAGCAGTACATCTGTGCCCACATCAAACAACAGTACTAATATATCCACAACAGACAGCAGTACATCTGTGCCTATAACAGACAGCAGTACATCTGTGCCCACAACAGACAGCAGTACATCTGTGCCCACAACAGACAGCAGTACATCTGTGCCCACAACAGACAGCAGTACATCTGTGCCCACAACAGACAGCAGTACATCTGTGCCCACAACAGACAGCAGTACGTCTGTGCCCGCTGCAAACAGCAGTATTTTGGTTTCAGAGCCAACCACTGAGAGATCAAATGACGGAGACTGTCTCTCTCAAAGTGAATTGGTGATTTCTCACACAGTCATATCTGCATGTGATTTATGTAGCACTGATGCTAGAAATGAGGAAACCACTTCAGATGATTATGTAGTGAATGTTAAAGAGGATTCCAGAAATAAAACAGATTCTGACCATGTTGGTTGTTTGGCTGCACTTGATAATGATGTTCATAGTAGTCCTCTCAGGCAGGTTGAGGGAAATAGTTATGATGAGAGATTGGAAGCTGCGGCAACAGGCCAGTCTGGGCATGAACTGGCTACACCAGGCCAGAGTTTGTGTGCAGCCAATTCTCATTTCTTGGAAACAACAACACTTTCAGTTGCATCTCAGATTGATTGTCCAGACAACAACAAACCTGGCACTGATGCATCTGTAGACATGGAGTCTAGAAGTCCAGACAACTTCAACAAACCTGGCACTGATGCATCTGTAGACATGGAGTCTAGAAGTCCAGACAACTTCAACAAACCTGACACTGATGCATCTCTAGCCATAGAGTCTAGAAGTCTAAACAGCTTCAGCGAACTAGACACTGATGCATCTGTAGGCATGGAATCTAGAAATCCAGAATGGCGGACCTTGCCAATGCTTAACAATTCAAGTTCTATACATGACCGGTCTGCAACCAGTTTTCAGTCATTGCCAGAAGAAATGATGAATGTTGAAGTGAAGCAAGAAATATTTGACGACGAAGATGAAATTAATGATTCCGAGGATGTGTTGATTACTTCTTCTGATTGTGTCGATACTAAAGTTGAAATTAAAGAAGAAGAAGAGTTTGAAGTGGTTGCCGAGTGGAGTTCATCATGTATGGAGGGCTGTGATGGAAGTCCAGACTCGTATCATGAAACTGAAGAATGCTTAGAAGAAAAAGAACCAGAACTGGAATCACATCCTGCAGAAAGTTCACTTACTTCTATTGATGTGTGCTCCTCAGGGAATGTAGCATTGAAATCAGTGGTAGAAGGTCAAGAGGAAGCAGCTGTAGAGAATGATGCTCCGACAGGCTCTAGTGTAACGGTGTTGCCAGGTAGTTTGTCGGCAGCAGCTGGCTACAAGACTCTGCCGTCTGTGATGACCAAGACAGTGCTGCTGAAGCAGATGTGCACACCAGCTCTGGCAACAGTGGTCAAGAGAGTGGTCTCTCCAAATGTTCATGGAAAGATAATTAAATGCACCAGGATTACTCCATCCCCTGTTCGGGAAATGAGAGGAATAGAACTGTCCTCGCTAACCGATGTAGATGACAAAGAGTTCCAAATTGCAGGCTCCCAACCTGTAACCACCGTAACTGATTCCGTACCTGCAGCTGATGGACCTTCTGTCTCAATTCTGACAGGTAAGTCACCCGATGGAGAGCTCCAGCAGGTAAAATCTACTACCTTCTCTCAGGATGCAAGCTCCTGCAGTCTGTCTCAGATTAAAATCCAGATGGCGTCAGGGAAAACTGCAGTCATCAATGTGAAGAAGCGGCTCTCCTCAAACCCTCAGATTTCTGTAACATCAAGGGCAGCTGTCTTACCGGTTGGCACCTCGGTGATAACTTTTGCTGGCAGGCAGGTGATGACCATACCTTCATCTTGCACCACAAAGCCACCGATCACATTCCACATGAACGTTAGCCAATCACAGCAGCCGGGTCATAAGGAGGCCATGCCAATCATATGCTCCGTTGCTCCTGTCAAACCTGGATCAGTCGTTGAGCCACCTCCAGGAACAAAACAGATTCCGCTCATCTCAAACCCTCCTACTAAACCCACTGTCTCACTGCTTGGCACTCCATTCACTATTGTCACATCCCATGGGGATGTTGTCACGTCACAGTCTATCAATGTCTCATCTGTATCAACCAGTAATTCTCAGATATCCTTGCTGGCAAACTCAGCATCATCACTAGGGAAACAAGCATTTTTTATATCCAAATCGGATGTGGCGGTGGGAACCAAGGACCGGCTGGCTGACAGATCTGCCAGGAATTCACTGGAGAAGTACAGCCCTGAGGACATGGAGGAGGAGGATCCCTATGCCAGTACAGATGGAGTTATCTTTCCTAAGAGAAGTGAGTCTAAGAGAAACAATGTATGAAAGATTGTCACAGGTTGATCATGTCAAACACAAGGTGAAGGACCATGTTTGCAGCCATGGTGTCACATAAATAAGGGGGTATGTGGTCAGTAGGGCCGCACAGTTAACTACACTAGCTACAGGTTAGCACATGTTGAAGAGGTCTTTCCTGCCATGTTGGTGCATTTTTAATGCAATTTTTGGGTGAGGCAGCCTTCAAGGAAAAATGTTCTACAAATTTCTGAGATTAAATTTGAATCAGAACAGTCTTGTAGGGAAAATGTGCTACCAATTTCTGAGACTAAATGAGAACAGCCTTGAAGGGAAAATGTTCTACCAATTTCTGAGATTAAATTTAAATCAGAACAGCCTTGTGGGGAAAATGTTCTACCAATTTCTGAGATTATATTTAAATCAGAACAGCCTTGTAGGGAAAATGTTCTACCAATTTTCTGAGACAGTTTAAATCAGAACAGCCTTGTGGGGAAAATGTTCTACCAATTTCTGAGATTAAATTTAAATCAGAACAGCCTTGTGGGGAAAATGTTTTACAAATTTCTAAGATTAAATTTAAATCAGATCAGTTTTGTAGGGAAAATGGGCTCTACTGGCAAATCCGGACGAAGAATAAACAGCCTTGGACAACTTAGAGTTCTCTCCCTTGGCCGCACTCCAAACAGTGATCGGAAAACAAACGAAACAAACGACACACTTACCTATCATCCTGCGGTTGCGTGTAGGGATGCGTACGGTTGCGTGAGGCATCGTGGCATCATCATATGGTTGCGTGCAGGGTTGCGTACGGTTGCGTGAGGCATTGTGAATGTTAGTGTAGTCATCATCATGCGGTTGTTGGATTAGAGTTAGGGTTAGGGTTAGAGGTAGGGTTAGATGTTAAAATTTTGACGTAGGGTTTCGAAATAGTGGCCGACAATCTGATGTTTGTGGGCGTGGCGCCACTGAAATTCTGCTAAATATGACGCCAATAGTGTGCGGTTGGTGCCCAATCGTTGGCGAATGGTGCGTTTCACCAGCATCCAGAGGCCCTCAATTGTTTGTGTGTGTATGTGACTGTACGGCGTCGACGAAGTTGGTCTGGTGGACTACTACCTCGTGCAGATAGATGCCATACCGTAAGTTTGCCACGTTGCTGTAGCCTCGCCAAGCGTCAGTCACGATGGCCGTTCCCGGCAGTGCGTGATCTTTTATAATCCACTCCAATGTCGCCGCATCTCGTTTTCGCACAAGCTCCAAGTAGCAATGGCCAGTCTCACGCTCTACTAGCCCGACGATCCAACGACCGTGACGGATGCGACCGCGCTGATAGTTTCGTCGGAAGAAGTAGCTCTCGTCTACTTCGACCACGATAGATCTGCCGGTCTCATCGAGTCCTCCCAGCTCCACGGTGTGTCTCAACATCCAATTATAGCATTCTAGTTATGTGAGTGCGTCTAACTGCCATGTTGCTTGTGTCGTTTGTTTCGTTGTGGCTTTTCCGATCACTGTTTGGAGTGCGGCCACGGGAGAGAACTCTGACTAAGTCGTCCAAGGCTGTTTATTCTTCGTCCGGATTTGCCAGTAGAGCCGGAAAATGTTCTACCAATTTCTGAGATTAAATTTAAATAAGAACAGCCTTGTAGGGAAAATGTTCTACCAATTTCTGAGACAGTTTAAATCAGAACAGCCTTGTGGGGAAAATGTTCTACCAATTTCTGAGACAGTTTAAATCAGAACAGCCTTGTAGTGAAAATGTTCTACCAATTTCTGAGATTAAATTTAAATCAGAACAGCCTTGTGGGGAAAATGTTCTACCAATTTCTAAGATAAATTTAAATCAGAACAGCCTTGTAGGGAAAATGCTCTACCAATTTCTGAGACAGTTTAAATCAGAACAGCCTTGTAGGGAAAATGTTCTACCAATTTCTGAGACAGTTTAAATCAGAACAGCCTTGTAGGGAAAATGTTCTACCAATTTCTGAGACAGTTTAAATCAGAACAGCCTTGTGGGAAAAATGTTCTACCAATTTCTGAGATTAAATTTAAATCAGAACAGTTTTGTAGGGAAAATGTTCTACCAATTTCTGAGATAAATTTAAATCAGAACAGCCTTGTGGGGAAAATGTTCTACCAATTTCTGAGATTAAATTTAAATCAGAACAGCCTTGTAGGGAAAATGTTCTACCAATTTATGAGACTAAATTTAAATCGGAACAGCCTTGTGGGGAAAATGTTCTACCAATTTCTGAGATTAAATTTAAATCAGAACAGTTTTGTGGGGAAAATGTTCTACCAATTTCTGAGATAAATTTAAATCAGAACAGCCTTGTGGGGAAAATGTTCTACCAATTTCTGAGACAGTTTAAATCAGAACAGCCTTGTAGGGAAAATGTTCTACCAGTTTCTGAGATTAAATTTAAATCAGAACAGTTTTGTGGGGAAAATGTTCTACCAATTTCTGAGATAAATTTAAATCAGAACAGCCTTGTGGGGAAAATGTTCTACCAATTTCTGAGACAGTTTAAATCAGAACAGCCTTGTAGGGAAAATGTTCTACCAATTACTGAGATTAAATTTAAATCAGAACAGCCTTGTGGGGAAAATGTTCTACCAATTTATGCGACTAAATTTAAATCGGAACAGCCTTGTGGGGCAAATGTTCTACCAATTTCTGAGACTAAATTTAAATCGAACAGCCTTGTGGGGAAAATGTTCTACCAATTTCTGAGACTAAATTAAAATCAGAACAGCCTTGTGGGGAAAATGTTCTACCAATTTCTGAGACTAAATTAAAATCAGAACAGCCTTGTGGGGAAAATCACCAGGTGATCAGAAGAGCTTATAATGGCTGTAGATCAGGTCAGGCGTACAGCTGAGAATGTGCTGTAGATCAGGTCAGGCCTACAGCTGAGAATGTGCTGTAGATCAGGTCAGGCGTACAGCTGAGAATGTGCTGTGTAAATAACATGATTCTATAATTTGACCACAAGCTGTTGTTTAATATTGGCTTATATTTGTTTTACTGGAAAACTGGGGTTTTTTGTTGTCAAATGTGTGTAAAAAAACAATGTTATGGTTGATATGTTCATGCAACAAAGTGTTTAAATAGTTGATGATTATTGTCAGGTGTAAGAATATGAGTATTGTAAAAAATGTTCATCCAACAGAGTGAGTATTTGTCAAATGTAAGTATGTGCACACACGTACAGTATGAATGTGCACACACGTACAGTATGAATGTGCACACACGTACAGTATGACAGAAATGTGTGTTTATATGGTTGATGTCTCTTTTCCAGACAGGGAATGCCCTTGTCCAGGCTGTGACGGAACCGGGCACATAACCGGTTTGTACACACACCACAGGAGGTCAGTAACTGTCCTTGTAGTCGTCATGGTTGTGCTGTCATTTGGTTAGCAATGTGAACAGTTGTTTTAATACCCAGGGCTAGTTTATGTGTCTGTTTTCAAGGCGCAGGACTGGTCAGCTGGTGACCTGCAGGCCATATACTGCCCACAGAGGACTAGCAAGCGGCCCTTAGTCTCACTGCCAACTTGTTAGTTGTGTATCCTTTACAGAACATTGCAGAACCAACCCCAGCATTTTTTGACTGTTGTGGTTTTTCTAGGCAAATTTACATCCAGTCGTTTGCCATTACTTTCTGGACGGTCCTCTTCTTGATACCACTGTCGAAACCAGTGCAAGGCTGTAGCTGGGATCGAACCGAGCACTCCGGCATTACAAAGCTTGTTTGCAATGCCCAAGCTACAGACGCGGACCACGGCCAACTATATTTTAACAGTGATCTTTATGTGGTCAGGCTCGAGCCTCCGGCCTGAGACTGTCCCCACTTCCATCACTGTGGCCTCTGAGTAAACCTAGTTAAATAGCACTGCCTTAGGGGAAGCAAAGAATAGTAACACTTAACTCACCAAGCAGGTCCTAAGAGGTCACTAATGGGTAGGTTGGTTTTGCTTCTCTAACCAGTAAAGGGCTTTTTTTACCATAGCCTACTGGCTAAACAAGTCTGAAAGAAAGGAGAAAGTTTTCAAGCAGCCACTGTGATAAGAGATATCCCACCAAAAATGAGTGCCCTCCTCAATAAAACTATGCGGCAGTGAGGAGAAAGCTGAAGAAAATCTAGTAACTGAAATTTGTCCTTTACCAAAGAAAACTTCTAGAGTAGTGCTTGCAGTTTTGGAGCTTTGTATGGATTCAGATGAAAAGCAGAGGTGGTACCTGCGTTAGAGAATTGTGATTGCCATTGAATTATTCCACAGGAAGAAGTCAAGTAGGCAGAGACTATAATTAGAAAGTCGCTTGACTAGAGCCTTCAAGAAAGACTAAAACACACGGAGAAGAGAATTAAAAATACACATGAACAATGTGGAAAGCCACGGAGAGATTTTCAGCTAGCAACAGATGGATGATTGGGTAAATTGGTTGAGCTTGTGTTTAGTCCTAGGTTGGGAGACGCAAGAGGCAAAGTAGTTCAGTACCCAGCAGTGGCAAAATTAACATTTGTTACCAACATTGTTTATTGTTCAGGGTAGTGTTTGCTGCACATCAAAAGCACTGATAAGTGCTCAGTCTCCTCTTAGTTTATGCTGAAGACTCCTGTTCTTAAAGGATTGTTACCAGCAGCTTAATGGACGTGAATACATGATTTGTCTATGTAGAAACAGTGATGAGAAGTCAGATTGCTGACTGTATGTCACAATTGTGGCAACTTAGTACACGAGTGTTCTCACCTGTAAATTTATATTTGCATGTTATTATAACAGTTAAACATACCAGTAAGAGAACAAGAGTTTAATGGATACCATGCAAGCAAATTTCCCCAGGTGCCATCCGGACATTTACAGTATCTGCACAACATATTTAAAACCCTGCCTTACTGTGTGTAGTTATTGGACAGAACTGTCAGTTTCATGTTAACTTTTTCTAGGCCATATAGTTTGTATGCAGCAGTGTTTCTCTTGATGTACTGTACACAAGACTATTTCCTGAGTTTCGCATTGATGAGGGCACTGAAGTCAAGCACTGTATTCCACAGAATGTGTGAACATAGAGTAACTTATGGGGGCACTGAAGTCAAGCACTGTATTCCACAGAATGTGTGAACATAGAGCAACTTATGGGGGCACTGAAGTCAAGCACTGTATTCCACAGAATGTGTGAACATAGAGTAACTTATGGGGGCACTAGAGTCAAGCACTGTATTTCACAGAATGTGTGAACATAGAGCAACTCATGGGGGCACTGGAGTCAAGCTGTGTATTTCACAGAATGTGTGAACATAGAGCAACTCATGGGGGCACTGAAGTCAAGCACTGTATTTCACAGAATGTGTGAACATAGAGCAACTCATGGGGGCACTGGAGTCAAGCAGTGTATTTCACAGAATGTGTGAACATAGAACAACTCATGGAGGCACTGGAGTCAAGCACTGTATTCCACATAATGTGTGAACATAGAACAACTCATGAGGGCACTGGAGTCTAGCAGTGTATTCCACATAATGTGTAAACATAGAGCAACTCATGATAATGCATGGCTGTTTCTGTTGAGTATTGAATGTCTGACATTCCATAAACAACATGGGGGGAGATAACCCAGCCAATGCTGAGTTGAATCTGGGTCACAGCCAACGTGGCAGTTTTCTATTGCATCCAATAAACATTGTTGAGAAATATGACTTAGTGCAGACTGCTGACCCACACAGGCCTACTGGTGACATCTGGGTGATGTGGCCACTACTGATAACACCTGAGGGATGTAGCTGCTACTTGTGACACCTGGGTGATGTAGCCGCTACTGGTGACACCTGAGTGATGTAGCCGCTACTGGTGACATCTGAGTGATGTAGCCGCTACTGGTGACATCTGAGTGATGTAGCCGCTACTGGTGACATCTGAGTGATGTAGCCGCTACTGGTGACACCTGGGTGATGTAGCCACTACTGGTGACATCTGAGTGATGTAGCCACTACTGGTGACACCTGGGTGATGTAGCCACTACAGGTGACACCTGGGTGATGTAGCCACTACAGGTGACACCTGGGTGATGTAGCTGCTACTGGTGACACCTGAGTGATGTAGCTGCTACTGGTGACACCTGGTGATGTGGCCACTACTGGTGACACCTGAGTGATGTAGCCGCTACTGGTGACATCTGGTGATGTGGCCACTACTGGTGACACCTGGTGAGGTAGCTGCTACTGGTGACACCTGAGTGATGTAGCCGCTACTGGTGACATCTGGTGATGTGGCCACTACTGGTGACATCTGGGTGAGGTAGCTGCTACTAGTGACATCTGGGTGATGTAGCTGCTACTGGTGACACCTGAGTGATGTAGCCACTACTGGTGACACCTGAGTGATGTAGCCGCTACTGGTGACATCTGAGTGATGTAGCCACTACTGGTGACATCTGAGTGATGTAGCCACTACTGGTGACACCTGAGTGATGTAGCCGCTACTGGTGACACCTGAGTGATGTAGCCACTACTGGTGACACCTGAGTGATGTAGCCGCTACTGGTGACACCTGAGTGATGTAGCCACTACTGATAACACCTGGGTGATGTAGCCACTACTGGTGACACCTGGGTGATGTAACTGCTACTGGTACCACCAGGGTGATGTAGCCACTACTGGTGACACCTGGGTGATGTAGCCATTACTGGTGACACCTGGGTGATGTAGCCACTACTGGTGACACCCGGGTGATGTAGCTGCTACAGGTGACACCTGGGTGATGTAACTGCTACTGGTGACACCTGGGTGATGAAGCCACTACTGGTGACACCCGGGTGATGTAGCTGCTACAGGTGAAACCCAGGTGATGTAGCTGCTACAGGTGAAACCTGGGTGATGTAGCTGCTACAGGTGACACCTGGGTGATGTAGCTGCTACAGGTGACACCTAAGTGATGTAGCCACTACTGGTGACACCTGAGTGATGTAATCGCTACTGGTGACACCTTGGTGATGTAGCCGCTACTGGTGACACCTGGGTGATGTAGCCGCTACAGGTGACACCTGAGTGATGTAGCCGCTACAGGTGACACCTGAGTGATGTAGCCGCTACAGGTGACACCTGGGTGATGTAGCTGCTACAGGTGACACCCGGGTGATGTAGCCGCTACAGGTGACACCCGGGTGATGTAGCCGCTACAGGTGACACCTGAGTGATGTAGCCGCTACAGGTGACACCCGGGTGATGTAGCCGCTACAGGTGACACCTGAGTGATGTAGCCGCTACAGGTGAAACCCGGGTGATGTAGCTGCTACAGGTGAAAACAGGGTGATGTAGCTGCTACAGGTGACACCCGTGTGATGTAGCTGCTACAGGTGACACCTGGGTGATGTAGCCGCTACTGGTGACACCTGAGTGATGTAGCCACTACTGGTGACACCCGGGTGATGTAGCTGCTACAGGTGACACCCGGGTGATGTAGCTGCTACAGGTGACACCTGGGTGATGTAGCTGCTACATGTGACACCCGGGTGATGTAGCTGCTACAGGTGACACCTGGGTGATGTAGCCGCTACTGGTGACACCTGAGTGATGTAGCCACTACTGGTGACACCCGGGTGATGTAGCTGCTACAGGTGACACCCGGGTGATGTAGCTGCTACAGGTGACACCTGGGTGATGTAGCTGCTACATGTGACACCCGGGTGATGTAGCTGCTACAGGTGACAACTGGGTGATGTAGCCGCTACTGGTGACACCTGAGTGATGTAGCCGCTACAGGTGACACCAGGGTGATGTAGCTGCTACAGGTGACACCTGGGTGATGTAGCCACTACTGGTGACACCTGAGTGATGTAGCCGCTACAGGTGACACCCGGGTGATGTAGCTGCTACAGGTGACACCTGGGTGATGTAGCCGCTACAGGTGACACCTTGGTGATGTAGCCACTACTGGTGACACCTGAGTGATGTAGCCGCTATTGGTGTCCCAGTTATAATGTCTTTTGAGGTTGAATAGAGTATCTGAGATTTGCCCTGTTAGCTTGTCATCCAGACAGAGAAATTTTAATCTAAGGGTGGTCAGCCCTACAAGTAGCAGCCTGGAGCCTGCAGACTGGAACTGAGAAATCTGACAGAAAGCCACTGTCTGGACCTTTAAATATGGTGGAAGAATAATGAGATGTTCCCAGTGTTTGTCACCAACACACAGAACTCTGTCAGCATTCTGAGAGTTTAGAGACTTTGATGTCTTCCCCAGTCTTGAGCCGATGTGCTTCTGTCAATGATGTAGGCTTGGGTCTCTACAGCATGAGAGAAAGGCTGGGCTGCTACCCGATTCTCGGGCCCCTCTGATCCTAGTGAGAAGTAGAAGCCTAGCCTTCTACTCTTGGGTCACACACCGGACCAATCATAGCTGCCTCTTTCAAGTAAATGATATAGTTTGTATCAGTGATTTTCGTCTTCCTTTCACAGTATTTCTGGCTGTCCCAGGAGAAGTGAGCTTCCCATTGATGTCATTGAATGTAAGCATCAGTTCTCTTTTATACCAGTTTCCATTTATTTATACTATTGATGTCCATTTATTTATACAATTGATGTCCATTTATTTATACAATTGATGTCCATTTATTTATACATTTTATGTCCATTTATTTATACAATTTATGTCCATTTATTTATACAATTTATGTCCATTTATTTATACAATTTATGTCCATTTATTTATACAGTTGATGTCCATTTATGACAATTTTTCCTACCATTTACTAACATGTACATTGTCGTTAAAATATGAGATACATATTCTAGAAGTGAACAACAACAATAATAACCAGTAAAGGTGGAGTATCTAGACAAATGTAAAGGTGGAGTACCTAGACAAATGTAAAGGTGGAGTATCTAGACAAATGTAAAGGTGGAGTATCTAGACAAATGTAAAGGTGGAGTATCTAGACAAATGTAAAGGTGGAGTATCTAGACAAATGTAAAGGTGGAGTATCTAGACAAATGTGGGTAAGTTGTTTTATTTGCAGTATGCTTCTTTTTATTCTGGGTTCACCCTTAGATCGGTGGTTGGCACTTTGTATTGTGGTGTTTACAGCTAGGCTGTGATATCTGCACCATTTGGCCCAACACATCCAGTTTCAGCAAATCGCTAATCAGGAACCTTCCTATCGTTAGAGGGTCAGTGGGTCTATTGCACCTCCCCCCCCCCCTCTCCCCACCCAGGTGGGTCCTGAAATCCTTAAAGGGATCCAGTTCAAACCATTATAGTAGTTTTAAAAAAATACACTGGTGTGCACAAACTAGCTACAGTTGGAGGGCCTAGAAATAAGATTGAAGTAGTCTATTACAAGTTCTTTACCCTGCACACATCAGTCAGACAGACAGACACAGTTGCAGGCACACCAAGGATTTACTGACATGACCACCACTGGTGTGGTGCAGTTTTGATCTGAAGGTGACCCTTGACCCTTTCCCTCTTTTCTTTGGTCATTGCTGGTCACAGTGGGAAAAAAAAACTATGGGGAAAAAAAGCAAATACTTTGGTGAAAAGTCTTTCTAGGAATACATACAGCAGCAAAATTCACTGTCCTTGATTGTGTCAGCAATTATGAAATATTGTTGCGGGTAGCAAACCTGCACAGTGCTGCCACTCAAGGGTTCAGAAACCTGCCCAGTGCTGCCACTCAAGGGTTCAGAAACCTGCCCAGTGCTGCCACTCAAGGGTTCAGAAACCTGCCCAGTGCTGCCACTCAAGGGCTCAGAAACCTGCCCAGTGCTGCCACTCAAGGGTTCAGAAACCTGCCCAGTGCTGCCACTCAAGGGTTCAGAAACCTGCCCAGTGCTGCCACTCAAGGGCTCAGAAACCTGCCCAGTGCTGCCACTCAAGGGCTTCAGAAACCTGCCCAGTGCTGCCACTCAAGGGCTCAGAAACCTGCCCAGTGCTGCCACTCAAGGGCTCAGAAACCTGCCTAGTGCTGCCACTCAAGGGCTCAGAAACCTGCCCAGTGCTGCCACTCAAGGGCTCAGAAACCTGCCCAGTGCTGCCACTCAGGGGCTCAGAAACCTGCCCAGTGCTGCCACTCAAGGGCTCAGAAACCTACCCAGTGCTGCCACTCAAGGGCTCAGAAACCTGCACAGTGCTGCCACTCAAGGGTTCGTGCTTTGATGTGCAGGTCTTGTCAAGTGTCACTATTCTTCCCATGCTATTCTACAAATGTTTCTGTGACATTTTTTTTGAATACTTTACACATGTTCCTCATCTGACCTCTTAACAAGTGTGTAATAAGTTAGTACTTTCAGCAAACAGGCATGTGTCTGTGTGGGTGGTGTTAACAAACATATATTGTCTGTGTGGGTGGTGTTAACAAACATATATTGTCTGTGTGGGTGGTGTTAACAAACATTTATTGTCTGTGTGGGTGGTGTTAACAAACATTTATTGTCTGTGTGGGTGGTGTTAACAAACATTTATTGTCTGTGTGGGTGGTGTTAACAAATATATATTGTCTGTGTGGGTGGTGTTAACAAACATTTATTGTCTGTGTGGGTGGTGTTAACAAACATTTATTGTCTGTGTGGGTGGTGTTAACAAACATATATTGTCTGTGTGGGTGGTGTTAACAAACATTTATTGTCTGTGTGGGTGGTGTTAACAAACAGATGTGTGTTCACATATGTGATGTCAGTAAACAGCCGATAATATTATTTGCTTTAACTGCCAGTATCAACAGTTGATTTCTTTTTCTTGTTGTGGATTGTTTCAGCTTTACTGAGGCAGGATCACAGCCTGAGGTAAGCAGATTCTCTTCTACCACGTAGATATTCTTCAGAGAACATTTGTCTGCTCTGCTGCTAACAAACGATTGGTCTCTAGTGGCGTATTGCCTGCTGGGTTCACCTGCTGGTCCTTTAGCTGTACATTTGAATCTTTTTGGATTTTAATTTTAAAAATGGAACTGAGCCATTGATGCCTTCTAATGGGGTTAATGGAAAGTGGTCCCATGACTCATGTAGACATTTTCTGTCATAGCCCTCAGTTGTCCTGGTGCCATGACTCATGTAGACATTTTCTGTCATAGCCCTCAGTTGTCCTGGTACCATGACTCATGTAGACATTTTCTGTCATAGCCCTCAGTTGTCCTGGTGCCATGACTCATGTAGACATTTTCTGTCATAGCCCTCAGTTGTCCTGGTACCATGACTCATGTAGACATTTTCTGTCATAGCCCTCAGTTGTCCTGGTGCCATGACTCATGTAGACATTTTCTGTCATAGCCCTTAGTTGTCCTGGTACCATGACTCATGTAGACATTTTCTGTCATAGCCCTCAGTTGTCCTGGTGCCATGACTTATCAGCACCATCAGTTAAACAACCTCATGTTGCTTTCTTCTGTTGTCAGAGCAAAAATTTGCATAGGACAAGATGAAGGCAGTGTCAAGTGAAATGTTTATTTTATTTTATTATATTGGACTGTTGGATATCAGCAAACAGTATCCTTGAAATAAAACATTTGACAAGAATATCACAGAAGGACAGACAAAGGTCATAAGAGCAGTTCATTCAGAGTCTTGTTTAACAAACAAAACCAGAATTCTTAACTACTTCAATAAAATAAAATGACTCCACAGTGAATTTGTAAGGTCATAAAATCCACATGATAGAGAAACAAGAACAGTTTAAGTTTGGGCAGCACCAGTGCAGGAAATGGATATGAAATTTAATGGAAATGTTTATCATCCCTGCATTTTCAAAAGACTTTGCAGACTTTATTGCAGTTTGATCAACAAGTGTCTTTGTTTTGGTTCTTGTGCAGGTGCCCAACACCAGGTTGCAATGGAAGAGGTCACATCAACAACAACCGAAGTACACACAGAAGGTCAGCTACAAGTCAAGAGTTGTGTGTGTTGTTTAGTCTATCATGTTATTGCTGAGCATGTTCTTTTTTGTTTGTTATTTTATCATCTTAGCAACTTCAAGCTAAGCTTGTTCTCTCTTAGATTTTAAAAAAACAAACACTTATCTTCCTTATTGAACCTGCCATGAGTGTTAAATTTCAATGTTGCTGTTATTTGCTGGCTTCATGGGGCTTAGCATCACATTATCATCATCATCAAATGCCTTGCGACTGGAGTGGGCGATCATGCCTCTCCACAATCTGCGATCCACAACTATGTGTATCAGTTCGGGCGTTGAATCCCTCCATGCCTTTGCAAAAGGCTGTCAAGAATCTTTTTGCCCTGTCTTCCTCTGACTCTCTTTCCACAGATCTTTCCAGTGCTCACAACATGTTCCTGTTTCCATGTTTTCTGATGTTTGTGGTAAGTTGTCTTCCTCTGACTCTCTTTCCACAGATATTTCCAGTGCTCACAACATGTTCCTGTTTACATGTTTTCTGATGTTTGTGGTAAGTTGTCTTTGAGCACTGACCTCTCTTTTATGGCTGTCCAAGGAATTCTAAGGATTCTTCTCTTAAACCAGGTCTCCACGACCTCAAGATATTGTCCGGCTTGTTTTATTATTGTCCAGGATTCACAGACGTATGTTAAAAACAGAATCTATATATAGCATGCAAGAATTCTTTCCTTAACCCGCAATGACATGGATTTATTGCATAAAATGTAGTTCATTTTATAAAAGGTCGTTTTGGTCTGTCCTATTCTGTTCCATGTGATACATCTTCCATCAAATATTATCCATGTGCCTGTGATACATCTTCCATCAAATATTATCCATGTGCCTGTGATACATCTTCCATCAAATATTATCCATGTGCCTGTGATACATCTTCCATCAAATATTATCCATGTGCCTGTGATACATCTTCCATCAAATATTATCCATGTGCCTGTGATACATCTTCCATCAAATATAATCCATGTGCCTGTGATACATCTTCCATCAAATATTATCTGTGTGCCTGTGATACATCTTCCATCATATATTATCCGTGTGCCTGGACATTTAAATGTATGTACTTGTCTTAAAATAACGCCTTTGACTAATATTATGCATTCAGGGACTATTTCTTTTTTAAATCACCATTGCCTCTTCTTCTTCTTTTTCTACTTCAGCTTTCTGAGCTCTTGAGGGTTGTTGCTGCAGATACCCCCCCCCCCCCTTTTCCTACTTTGCATCATCTCTCTGATTGACCTTCTCCCTCCATCTGGTGACACCAAGTGTTTGTAGGTCTGTCTGTATATTATCTCTCTATCATCTTTTTGGTCTGTGACCATTCAGCGCACTTGTGTATACAGTTTTTACCTCTCTCGCATCTGACGTTTTCAGTATGCCCCAGCTATTTCAGTATGCCCCAGTCGATTTATTCATTTTGTACAGTGAAATAAAAATGAGATCCATGCCAGGAATCTCTCTGGGCATATTGTTGACCTGCGATAATCTGGTGATATAGTCTTGATCTGGAAAGACAACTGCAAGAAATGGTGGATGTAATTGTCACAGAAAGTGAGAACAAGGATCTTAGTTTAAACAGCAGAAAAATGGAAGTCAAGGTAATTTTACAAAATAGAAATAAAGACTCACTATCCATGCAACATCAAAGTAAATGGGACAACAAGCAAGTTGAAATTTTTAAGTACTTGGGTTCCCTGGCATAACTCTCAGGGTCATTGAGAAAACACAAGCTCACGCCCTCACCATTACCCCCTGTCTTACGATTATTCAAACTGAAGCCTATATTATCACTTTCTACAACCACTGTATCTATCACATCCTGTAGTTATTTCTGACTCGTCGCTATCAAGATGGTGTCGTCGTTATCAAGACGGTGTCATCAGCATACCATTTATGTTATGTTTATGTTATGTTAGCAGCACCTAGGCTAACTCTAAATCCACTGTCTGACATCTCCCGACAGTTTGTCAGGCTGTCCGTTAGCAGCGATGAGCAGACTGATGTCACAGACAGCAACAGGAGGCAAATCTGGTAAGATTTCACAACACTATTTGTTTTACCATCAGTTTTACCCTCAGTTTTACCATCAGTTTTATGTTCTGGCTTTTGGTTAAAAAAACCAAAAACAATCACAGTCATGTTGGATATATGGTATTAGATCCATTTTATTTAGATCAGTCAGCACTTTGGTGTATGTGTGGTTGGTGGTGGTTTCACATGTTGGATATATGGTATTAGATCCATTTTATTTAGATCAGTCAGCACTTTGGTGTATGTGTGGTTGGTGGTGGTTTCACAGTCATGTTGGATATATGGTATTAGATCCATTTTATTTAGATCAGTCGGCACTTTGATGTGTGTGTGGTTGGTGGTGGTTTCACATGTTGGATATATGGTATTAGATCCATTTTATTTAGATCAGTCAGTACTTTTGTGTATGTGTGGTTGGTGGTGGTTTCACAGTCATACTTTGAAGTCAGGTTGCTGGCACCAAAGTTAGGCTTGGAGCTGACATCATTGAACAAAAATACCGGTCTCCATGGGGATTGGAAGACACCAGCAAAAGGACCAATCACTGTACTAGCACCTGCCTGATAGTAGGAGATAGTAAAATATTTGACAGTTGAGGGGCAACCAAAGCCACTCAGTTGTGGATGAGTAAGTTGATAGGCCACATCTTTGCGTTCATGAACAGCAGTGAGTCAGTGTTGTGTATCCACTCGTAATCAGGACATATATGAGCTGTATTTGAGCTCAGCATATTTGCTTATCTGCTCGTAGAGACTTTAAATGACCCTCCTTCTCTCTTTCGCCCCCCCCCCCCTTTTTTCCCCCCCTGACTGTTTATGTTGTACTGTTATATTTGAGTTGTAATGCTGAAAGAATGCTAGGAATAAACCAGTCTTACAGGTCATAAAAGAACAAATGAAGTGGTTTGGACACCTAACAAGAATGCCCTGGTACTATCTGCCACAGCGAGTGGAAGACCTCGGAAAATATGGAGTGATGTCATTAAGAACAGCCTTACAGAAATGAACATCAGTCTTAATAGTGCTCTTGACAGCTCATCAACAAACATTGCATCCCCCCCCCCCCCCCCCATCCCACACTTTGATGAGGTACTAGGTGGAAGAGAAGAAGAAGAAGAAGAAAAATGCTGAAAGTATGAAATATAGGAGGGTTAAATACAACTGTTTATCAGCAGCAACAGCCAGGGGCAGTTGGGGTTGGTTATGCAACGTCCTGTAAAGGATACACAACTAACCTATATTAGCAGCTGCAGCTCGGGGGTTATGTATGCAGTTCAGCAGTTCCAACATGCCAGGGTTACGACCAGCTGCAGGCTTTGGGTAGCAGATTACTGATGGTTGAATTTAATAATGGTATGAGCACCATACCGTTCACAAAGCAGTGGCAAACTACTGAATGTAAAATGATCCAGTAAAACCACACAGCAACTAATTAATGTTGGAGTTGGTTCTGCAACATCCTGAATGGGGCATGTGTCAGAACTGTATGAGGAGGATGATTTTTGTTTATGAAAGAGTGGAAGATATACTGACTGGCTCTTTGTGTGTGTGTGTGTGTGTGTGTGTGTGTGTGTGTGTGTGCGTGCGTGCGTGTGTCTCTCTCTCTCTCTCTCTCTCTCTCTCTCTCTCTCTCTCTCTCTCTCTCTCTCTTTCTGAGAATGAGGCTACGTGTGAGGAATATGTTTTCTATAAGTGAAATCTTTAGTGAAACAGTCGCGGTCATCAGTTCTTGTCTTTGTCTGCAGCCATGCACGTGGTGGTGCTGCCCAAGAGTGATGACCCCACAAAAGCCATGATTGCCACTTGTTCCGAGAAGGATCTTATCAAACTGGCAGCCAAGGAAATAACGCCTGGTAAGTTTTGTCGACATAATGACATTGCCTTTTCTTTCTGGCGAAAGCCATTAGGTCTTTGAGATGGTCAGAATGAGGTGTGGAAGTTCCCCCAATGAGGTGTGGAAGTTCCCCCAGTGAGGTGTGGAAGTTCCCCTAGTGAGGTGTGAAGTTCCCCCAATGAGGTGTGGAAGTTCCCCCAGTGAGGTGTGGAAGTTCCCCCAGTGAGGTGTGAAGTTCCCCCAGTGAGGTGTGGAAGTTCCCCCAGTGAGGTGTGGAAGTTTCCCCAATGAGGTGTGGAAGTTCCCCCAATGAGGTGTGGAAGTTTCCCCAATGAGGTGTGGAAGTTCACCCAATGAGGTGTGGAAGTTCCCCCAGTGAGGTGTGGAAGTTCCCCCAGTGAGGTGTGAAGTTCCCCCAGTGAGGTGTGGAAGTTTCCCCAATGAGGTGTGGAAGTTCCCCCAATGAGGTGTGGAAGTTCCCCCAATGAGGTGTGGAAGTTCCCCCAATGAGGTGTGGAAGTTTCCCCAGTGAGGTGTGGAAGTTCCCCCAGTGAGGTGTGGAAGTTCCCCCAGTGAGGTGTGGAAGTTACCCCAGTGAGGTGTGGAAGTTTGGGTTCCAGAGCCCCTTTGTGTGGGAGGGATTGAACAGACCCACTACTCAATAACAAGCATGTTATAAAAGGCGACTTCATGAAGAATTTGATGGCACTGGTTGTGGGAGAGAGGGTGAAACAGTTGAAGACCCATAGAGTAGTTAGTGTCCTTGATATAAAACAGGACATGAACAAGAGGCTGGAACCTGTTATCCAGGAATTTTTATACCAGGGACTACAGTCTGTAAATCTGTCTGTCTGTCTGTCTGGGATTTCAGGTTTGTATAGCTTATTGTGATTGTCTGTGTGGGGTGCCAGGCTTGTATATATTAAGTGTGATTGTCTGGGGTGTGAGGTTTGTAAATCTTAGGTGTGGTTGTCTGTCTGGGGTGTCAGGTTTGTATATTTTAGGTCTGATAGTCTGTTTGTCTGGGGTGCCAGGTTTGTAAACCTTAGGTCTGTTAGTCTGTTTGTCTGGGGTGTCAGGTTTGTATATCTTAGCTAACAAATAGAAAGCAGGTTTGCCCAATCGACTGTCCTGGATGCGCAGATGAGGCAGATGACGATAGCCGTGTCTGTGCTTTTAACCATCCATTGTCATCCATTGACCATCCTGTGTCTGTGCTCAGTGAAAAGTGGGGGACATAAGTTGTTTTATTTTCAGCCTGTATATTTAGATTTGTCCTCTGGACCACTACTGTATCAGAAGGGTAGATGACACCCTCACAAAATCTTGTCCTTTAACAGCATCATGTGTCTTTGATTTGAACCCTGAACACAGCAACTTTACTCTCATGTTGTGTACTTGACCACAGCTGGCACAGACCGCGTCCTCAGACCCATGATCTTGACCAAGCAGTTGGAGCCACGTGACAGCAAGATGGCGCCACAAGCCACTCCCAGGGGCAATCTGGCGAAAGAGCTGGAGAAGTACAGTCGACCTGAAATGTTGAACAGCTCTTTTGCAGCAGAAATCAAGTTGGAGCCAAAGTCAGAGTTTGACACCCCAGGAGCTTCCTCGCAGACTCAGCAGATGGGCCATGCACCAGAGAGACCCAACATCCTGTCCCGCCGGCCGCACATGCGGCACAAGCCAAGCATGTTGAGTCGGCCTCGGTTTGGACCCACGGCCTACAGGATCATCAATAACTCCAATTCTGTGAGGAGTTCTAGTCCCAGTTCTCTAGCCTCCACATCGTCATTGTCATCATCGTCATCTTCCTCAGCAGCATCGTCTCTAAATGCACCGCAGAACGGACACACACAAGCTACCGGCAGAGGGTAGGTATAACCTTGTCGGTTTCATCTCTTATGTTTACCATTCTTGAATAGTTTTTTCCAATATTTTTAAAATGTTTCCTTTATACCTTCTTTCTGGTGACCGTTTCTGTTTTCTTGTAAACAAAACACACTAGAAGCATTACATATTGCTGTGTCTAGGGTTCTTATGATTTGTCTGTGTAAAGATATTCTTGTAGAACAGTGAGTAAATGTTGTTATGAATTATCTATACATACATTAGAACAATGAATGAATGTTCATGTGATTTATCTGTATATACATTAGAACAATGAATTTGTGATTTATCTGTAGATACATTAGAGCAATGAATGAATGTTCATGTGATTTATCTGTAGAGCAGTGATTGAATGTTCTTGTTGTTTTTCTGTAGATACAGCTGTTCTTTTATAGCAGTGAGTGGATGTTGTGATTTATCTGTAGAAACAGGTCTTCCTGTGAGTCCGTTTCTGACAATCTGATGGTGTAAGTGACATGTTCAAGGTTGGTTGGAAATAGACAGCACACAAGTGCCTGGATTGGTTGAGTGCAGTACAACGTTACTAGATTTCTGCTGACATCTTGTCCAGTTTGTCTCACACTCCACACAAGGTTCTCTTGACTGTGATTGTTCACAAATGGCAAAATTTATATATATGTATATGCATTTTGAGGGATTACACTTGTTCTTGTTTTTGTGTGTATGAAATTATTGTTTCTGGGTGCCTGCATGAGGCAACCATTTTTCAGTTCATGCGAAATGGAATACTCCATTTATCACTGAATACAGCAGACATGTTTTTATACATTTGACTTCTGGAGCCCTGAATCTTCTTCTTCATGTTCACAGGCTTTTAACTCCAGTGAAAAGTTCTAGTTCTTTATCCACCTCTGGACTTTAGTCTTGGTCTAGAACCTGAGTTTTGCGTGCACATCCATTTTACAGGTCCGATTTATGCAGATTGTTGGTTCCTTGCCACTCTGGCAGATGTGATCCAACTTCATAGGAAACTCCCAGTTAGTGGACTCTGTGATATTCTTGTTAGGAAGGCAGTGGGTCTGTTCTTGTTTTCCCCCACAATGGGGCCCTGGAACCCACAGGAAGGCAGTGGGTCTGTTCTTGTTTTCCCCCACAATGGGGCCCTGGAACCCACAGGAAGGCAGTGGGTCTGTTCTTGTGTTCCCCCACAATGGGGCCCTGGAACCCACAGGAAGGCAGTGGGTCTGTTCTTGTGTTCGCCCACAATGGGGCCCTGGAACCCACAGGAAGGCAGTGGGTCTGTTCTTGTTTTCCCCACAATGGGGCCCTGGAACCCACAGGAAGGCAGTAGGTCTGTTCTTGTTTTCCCCACAATGGGGCCCTGGAACCCACAGGAAGGCAGTAGGTCTGTTCTTATTTTCCCCACAATGGGGCCCTGGAACCCACAGGAAGGCAGTAGGTCTGTTCTTATTTTCCCCACAATGGGGCCCTGGAACCCACAGGAAGGCAGTGGGTCTGTTCTTGTGTTTCCCACACAATGAGGCCCTGGAACCCACACCGGAAATCCTGGAAGTGTTTCTTTGAGTTTTCCAAATTAAGAAGGGAAGCAAAGAATACAACACTGCAAATGAAAAGGGAAGCAAAGAATACAACACTTCAGTCTGGCATGCATGTTGTTAAAAAACTGATAAAGATTGCCAGGTTCCAGCTAGATCATCCCGCACAAACCCAGTTGAGGATTGCCAGGTTCCAGCTAGATCATCCCGCACAAACCCAGTTGAGGATTGCTAGGTTCCAGCTAGATCATCTCGCATAAACCCAGTTGAGGATTGCCAGGTTCCAGCTAGATCATCCCGCACAAACCCAGTTGAGGATTGCTAGGTTCCAGCTAGATCATCCCGCACAAACCCAGTTGAGGATTGCTAGGTTCCAGCTAGATCATCCCCCACAAACCCAGTTGAGGATTGCTAGGGGTATGGCCACATCGTCCTGTAGGGGGTATTTTCCTCAAGAGAAAGAATGGAGAAGAGAGCCTATGGACAGAGGTGAGTTCAGCTGGAAGTAATGTGGAAGAACTGTGCAAGGATAGGATGGCTTCATAGGAGATGGTAAGGGGCCTTTGCTTCATTGGGGAATTTAAAAAAAAAGAAAGACGAAGATGTCATCGTCATGGGGTATACAGTTGTACAAACCATAGAAGATAAGTGTCAGTGGAATACAGATCTGATTGTTTCATGTGATAATTTTGTCTGACATCAAAGATTGACAGACTAGCAGTGAGTGGATGTTGTTATGATTTATCTGTAGATACAGCTGTTCTTATATTGACTGGGATATGTAGGCAGGGTTGACTGACTGGGATATGTAGGCATGGTTGACTGACTGGGATATGTAGCCAGGGTTGACTGACTTGGATATGTAGCAGTGTTGACTGACTGGGATATGTAGGCAGGGTTGACTGACTGGGATATGTAGGCATGGTTGACTGACTGGAATATGTAGCCAAGGTTGACAGACTGGGATATGTAGCAGTGTTGACTGACTGGGATATGTAGGCACAGTTGTCTGACTGGGATATGTACGCAGGGTTGACAGACTGGGATATGTAGGCACGGTTGACTGACTGGGATATGTAGGCAGGGTTGACTGACTGGGATATGTGGCCAGGGTTGACCAACTGGGATATGTAGGCAGGGTTGACTGACTGGGATATGTAGACAGGGTTGACTGAGTGGGATATGTAGGCACGGTTGACTGACTTTGATATGTGGCCAGGGTTGACAGACTGGGATATGTGGCCAGGGTTGACAGACTGGGATATGTAGCCAGGGTTGACAGACTGGGATATGTAGACAGGGTTGACTAACTAGGATATGTAGGCACGGTTGACTGGCTTTGATATGTGACCAGGGTTGACTGGCTTTGATATGTGACCAGGGTTGACTGACTTTGATATGTGGCCAGGGTTGACTGACTGGGATATGTAGCCAGGGTTGACAGACTGGGATATGTAGGCAGGGTTGACTGACTGGGATATGTAGGCAGGGTTGACAGACTGGGATATGTAGGCAGGGTTGACAGACTGGGATATGTAGGCAGGGTTGACTGACTGGGATATGTAGCCAGGGTTGACAGACTGGGATATGTGGCCAGGGTTGACAGACTGGG